AAACTCAATACCCGGTGAAAAAACAGTTTGTGATGAAAGTGCAAAGGAAAAAAATGATTAAAACTATTATTTTCAATCACACTATGCATTCGAAAACGGCAACAGTATTTACTAGTCAAACTGTTACTTGCTTAGGTGCTTAGGCTATTAATGTAATGTAATTATTAAAGTATTATACTTGCTATTAAGGTGCCAATGCTATAATAAGGTGCGTATAGATATAATTAGGCTGTAAAGTGCTTAGTGAATTAATAAAGTGTAATAAATTTAGAAAAAGTGCCCAATTTGAGCCCAATCTTATATATGATATCTTTTATGGAAGAGTCAGGAATTAATATGCTGTCTCTTATTTAAGGTTGATTCCACAATTTAAGCCATGGAAAGTACTAAAATCCAAAAATGGCGTACTTTTATTTTATTATTTTATAATGTTACATTGACAACCAAACAGATTATTATTTAAATATTGGGCCATCTGATTAAATTATGATTAAATTATCACTATGTATGTAGGCTATCAGTACCAATAATATAATTATAGTCTAAGTCAAAAATGTTAAAATGTAATATATACAATATGTACAGTATGAGTAAGTAGCACTTTCAGAATGTTCTATGCACTATATTGCACTTTTTCTAAATTTAATGTGGATAAGTGCAAGATAATGCATCTTGGATGTAAAAACCCAAGGGCAGAGTACAGAATATTTGATAGAGTCCTAACCTCAACATCTGAGGAAAGGGATTTAGGGGTGATTATTTCTCATGACTTAAAGGTAGGCAGACAATGTAATAGAGCAGCAGGAAATGCTAGCAGAATGCTTGGTTGTATAGGGAGAGGTATTAGCAGTAGAAAGAGGGAAGTGCTCATGCCATTGTACAGAACACTGGTGAGACCTCACTTGGAGTATTGTACACAGTACTGGAGACCGTATCTTCAGAAGGATATTGATACCTTAGAGAGGGTTCAGAGAAGGGCTACTAAACTGGTTCATGGATTGCGGGATAAAACTTACCAGGAAAGGTTAAAGGATCTTAACATGTATAGTTTGGAGGAAAGACGAGACAGGGGGGATATGATAGAAACATTTAAATACATAAAGGGAATCAACACAGTAAAGGAGGAGACTATATTTAAAAGAAGAAAAACTACCACAACAAGAGGACATAGTCTTAAATTAGAGGGACAAAGGTTTAAAAATAATATCAGGAAGTATTACTTTACTGAGAGGGTAGTGGATGCATGGAATAGCCTTTCAGCTGAAGTGGTAGAGGTTAACACAGTAAAGGAGTTTAAGCATGTTTCTATATATATATATATATATATAATTTATACACACATACAAACAACACACACAAACAGCTGAGAACTAGGTCCATACTGGCAATGTATTATGAGAGGGTTAAGAACCCATTAACCACTTGCTTGTTTCAAGCACCGAGATCCCTCTCTGCCTTCTCCAATGTCAGTGATGGGGCGTGGACCTAATGAGCATGTATGGCCAGGGACGGTGCAAGGATGTTTTCTGCCCTAGGCAAAAGAAAAATTTGGTGCCCCCCCATGTGCGCTACCCACCATGTGACATCACAATGCCCCACCCATTTCATCTGTCATATGAAACAATGCCAATGCTGCACACAGTGTGTGTTTACATTAAAAGGCCTGCAGGGACAGGCTATAGACACCAGAACCACTTCATTAAGCTGCAGTGGTTCTGGGGACAATAGTGTCCTTATAATGTGAGGTAAATTAGAAATTAGGGTCACTAATAATATACTAGATTGCAATTTACAACCAGATGAGGATGATGATCGCCTCTGGCTGCAGTCTGGCTCCACTGGTGTGGTGTAGAACAGGCTCTCTGGAGGCTGTTTGTAATGGTGGTCACAAAAATCAATGTTTTGGGTTAACGGAATTGTGTGAATCTGTGTTTGTATGTGTAACGGATGCAATGTTTGTGTTTTTGTAAGGGATGCAGTGTGTGTTTGTAAGGGTGCATTGATTGTCTGCAAGAGAAGCAGTATGTGTTTGTGTGTGTGTATGTGTGTAAGGGATGCATTGTGTGTTTGTGTGTATGGGATGCAGTGTGTGTTTCTGCGTATGTGTGTGTATATGTGTGTGTGTGTAGGCAATGGTGTATTTTGGATTTGTGCTGCCATAGGCACGACTAAATTCGGGCGCCCCCAAAATCTAAATTCCCCCCCCCCATTTCATGTCAAGGCCACTTTTTTGACTGACAGACACATGCCCTGATATACACTCACTGACAGATACACAGTCATTGGCACACACATACAGTCATTGGCACACACTGTTTAACCAATGCATACTTTCACTGACAGACACACACTTTCACATATACATAAAATGACATACACTCACTGACACACACTCACAGGCATACCCATTCTCACTGAAAGACACACACTTTCACTCACTCACAGACACAAACTGACAGCTACACTCACTCACAGTAAGGTGGGCAGCCCCAGAACATGAGGCAAACAAGACATTTGTCTGGGAGCCTGGGGTGGTGTTTTTTGGCGCCCCTTCCTGAAAGTGCCACCCTAGGCAAATGCCTTAAGGTAAATACATCCCTGTGTGTAGGGATGCATTGTGTATTTCTGTGTATGTATAGGGATGCATTGTGTGTGTGTGTATTGTGAAAGAGAGTGTGTGGGGTAGGATAGGGGCTGAGAGGGGAGCATAAAAAAATAAAAAAAATTGTTTTTGTTTTGCATCTTACATCCCCCTTTAGTGTATCTCTTGCAAGCCCTTGTTTGTCTCTTATCCCCCATCTTTGTATGTCTCCTACATCCTCCTAACTTCTTTGAGTGTCTTACTCCCCCCAGCCCCTTTGTGTGTCTCCCTCCCGAGCCCCTCTGTGTGTCTCTTTCTCTCCTTCCAGCACGTTTGTGCTTCTCTTTCCCCCCTTCCTTAGCCTCTCTGTGTGTCTTCCACTCCACTGTCCCTTAATAATCTTTTTCACTCCCACCCGTCCCTTGGTGGTCTCCTCTCCTCACCCTTTCTGTTAGAGCTCTCCCCTCCTGTCCCTTACTGCTCTCCCTTCCTGTCCCTTAGAGCTCTCCCCTCCTGTCCCTTAGTGCTCTCTCCTAGCCCTGACCCCATAAGTGGTCTTTTCTCTCCCCTCTCCCCCCTTGGTGGTCTCTCCTCTCCCCTCCTCTCCCCTAGTGGTCTCTCCTCTCTTCCCTGTACCTTAATGGTCTCTCCTCTCCCCCACCCCATTAGTAGGCTCTCCTCTCCCCCCTTGGTAGTCGCTCATCCCCCCCTCCCCTAGTGGTCTCTCCTTCCCACCCTCTCCCGGGCTGGCCTCTCCTCTCCTCTCCCCTCCCCTCCCCTACTGGTCTCTCCTCTCCCCCACCCCTCTAGTGGTCTCTCCTGTCCCCCCTCTTTTAGTGGTCTCTCCTCACCTGCCCTTCCCTAGTGATCGCCCCCCCATGGCCTCTCCCCCACCCACCCTATGTGTTCTCTATCCCCCCCTCTCCTGGTACTCTTTCCTCAATCTTCCCTCCCCAGGTGGTCTCTCCTTCCCCCTCCTCCCCTTGTGGTGTCTCCTCTCTCCCCCCCTCCCCAGGTGGTCTCTCCTTTCCTCTCTCTCCCTCCCTCTCTCCCCAGGTGGTCCTCCTACTTCTCTCAAGTGTTGCATGGCCGAGCTCAGCTCCGGTCGATGGTACAGGTGGGAATTTGGTGGTGGGAATGAGCGTCCACTCCCTGCCCTTCAGCTCCAAGATGGAGTTAGTCGTCATATTGTTTCCATGGTGCCCATACCCAGTTAAAGGCTGCCACAGTGTTTCGGACCTGGGCTGTCATTTTGTCCATTAAGTAATTGTCTCTGAACTTGGTCATTACCAGGGATAGAGGTGGTGTCTCCGGCTGTATCCATTGTTGAGCTGGGCATGACGTTCATTTTAACTCAATGTAGGCGACCTAGCCATGTGATGGGTTTGTCTGTCCATTTGTCTAAGTCGTTTTTTATAGTGTGCAGGAGGGGTGTGTAGTTGTGCTTGGATAGTGCAGTAGGGTCAGCTGTAAGTTGTATTCCCAGATATGTGAGTGATTCAATGTTTATTCTAAGTTGGTGTTTGTGTCTGATGTATGTTGCATCTTGTTCCTGCAGGTGGAACGGCATGGCTATCGACTTGGTGAGATTGACCTTGTATCCAGAGACTTCTCCGTATTGTTGTAGGAGTGTGTCCAGTCGGGCCATGGATCGTATCGGGTCTGACAGTGTTAGGAGCACGTCGTCGGCATATGCCGATACTTTGAATTGTTTAGTCCCTATCTGTATGCCCTGTATTAGCGGGTCTGTTCTAATGGATTGTAGTAAGGGTTCTAGAACTAGCACGAACAGTAGTGGAGATAGGGGGCACCCCTGTCGTGTCCCATTTCTCACTGGGAATGGATTCCTGGGGGCACCATGTATGATTGTCTATGCTTGGAGGTCTGTATATAGGGCCTTAATCACAATAATGAATGTGTCTGGGAAGCCTTGTGATTCTAGTAGCTGAAATAGGAATGGCCATTGGACTCTGTCAAATGCCTTTTTGGCGTCTAGGGAGAGGTCAAGGGAGGGGGCGTCGGAGTTGGACATGTACCAGATCAGGTCGGCCCCACGGCGTGTGTTTTCATATAGCTGTCGTCTTGGCATGAAGCCAACCTGATCCGGATGTACTAGTTTGGGCAAGAGAGGTGTTAGTCGTATAGATAAGATTTTTGCGAATATTTTTAAGTCCGAGTTGATTAGGGAGATTGGTCTGTAGTTCATGGCTAGGGTGGAATCTTTATTTGGTTTAGGTAGTAGTCATGTCTCGGTCTGGGGTCCCTCCCTGGAGGAAGTGGTTATATAATTTAGTGAGGGGGGGTATTAATTCATCTTTGAATTTTTTGTAACAGCTCATGCCTTATTGCCTTTTAGCGTAGAAATTGCCGCCACCACTTCCTCTTGTGCTATAGGCTCCTGTAGAGCCTCTGCCTCTTCTTATGCTATCTTTGGCAGGTCTGTGTGTGCCAAGAAGTCTGTAATGCATGTCAGGAGTTGGGCATGTGCTAGTTCGTCTCGTGGGGTATGGTCGTATAGTCCGCGATAGTATTCTGTGAATGCTAGGTTGGTGTCTCTTGGTGTGTTAACTACTACATTAGAGGAGTTACGGAGTGTAGTGATGGGTTTGGATTCTTGTCGAGGCCTGAGCGTTCGGGCTAATAGTGTGTCCATCTTATTGGCTTTCTTGTAAAAGAGGCGCCGGGATCGTAGAATAGAGTGTGCTACATCTGCTACGGATAGTTCTCTGACGGAATGTCTTAGTGCTTGGAGTTCATATAATTTAGCTGTGGTGGGGTTATGTTTGTGTTGGTGATCAGTTCTCCGTAGTGTTTTTGCTTTTTTGGTGTGGGTGGCTGCTCGGATGAAGTGGCCTCTCAGGACTGATTTGTGGGCAGCCCATATGATTGTCGGGTTTATGTCGCCTGTATCATTGTTGCTAAAATAGTGTGATTGTTGCCCGGGTGGCGAGGAATATCTCCTCATCATTGAGCAGGTTAGCATTGAGTTTCCAAGTCCAGTTTGAGTGATAGTGTAGTTTCCCCAGTGTGACCGATATGGTCAGACCATGTGATGCTTGCACCATGTTTTTTTAATGTGCACCATGGCCATTTACACCAGGCTGACCATTGGACCCAAGCTACATTTTGAGTGGTTTATTCCCCTAATGGTGCTGCTCTTACTGGGCATCACCAGTAGATGTCCCCTTCTTGACAACTTCAAGCTGACCAATATATATGTCACTCTTTCCCATTAGCTGTAAAGGATGGCAGATTCTATGGTGTCATGACCCCACTTACTTCTGATAGAGTGCTCACACACACACACACACCCCTTTTAACCCCTTAAGGACGAATGACGGACGAGGTCCGTCACTAAGGGGAAAGGGTTAATGACGAGTGACGGACCTTGTTCGTCACGCGTTAAAATTAACCTCTGATCGCCGCGGTGCCGGCGATCGCAGTGTTAATTCTGTTGCTGGGTGCCTCCGAGTCAGGGGCAGACCAGCAACAGCAAATCGCGATGTCCCAGCCCATGTGATCGCTGTGACAGCCAGTCACAGTGGTCACAATGCTGCTGGGACATCTGATCCGCCTCCCTCCACCTCTTGTGGGTTTGTGAAGTGGAGAGAGACGGATCGGTGCTACATTGTGTCCCTGAGGAATAGTTAAGTTGTAATAAAAGTTGCCTACCCCTTTCCCCTGTATAAAAAAAAAATAACCCTTTCCCTGCTGTTTGATCACTGCTAGCAGTGATCAATATACAGGTCACAGTACTTTACTGTGATATATATATTTTTTTTACTTTCAAGGGTTAAGTTTTATGTTTTTTTTAACCCTGAGGGGTTACATTTTATTATTTGATTTTATTAGTGTATGATTTAGTTACTTGGGTGGATGAAATTTAGTGGGAATTAGGGAATAAAAAAAAAATAATAATTTTTTTTAGTTATTTAGTTAAAGTTTTGTTAGCTGTGTTAACTGTATTTAACAATGTTCAGGAAGTATAGTGCAGAGGAGGCTTATGCCCTGTTAGTGGTCGACTCAGAGGCGACAGACACTGCCTCAGAGAGTGACGCAGGGGACGCAGGGGACAGGGACTATGTGCCAGATACTGCAGGACCATCAGGGGAAATCGACGATTCCCCTAATGCTGAACATGGCGCAGATGACTGGGTACCCCCTAATAATTTTTCCCCAGACATCCGAGTGTTTACAGCCAATCCTGGCATACAGGCTGACCTGTCTGGCTATAGTGCGCTGGATGTTATGCAGCTGTTCTTGGGGGATGAGATTTTTGGGGAGATAGTCACCCAGACTAATCTCTATGTGGAGCAGTATCTGGCACACAATCCAGACTCTCTTATCTCCAAGAAAGAGAGATGGAACCCAACCAGTGTGCCAGAATTGAAACAATTCTGGGCACTGACCATGTTAATGGGGCTAATTAAAAAGCCCACAATTAGGATGTATTGGTCTAAACATCCTATTTGCAATACCCCCATTTTTGCCGAGACAATGCCGAGGGAAAGATATGAAGACATATACTGCGATTTATGCACTTTAGTGATAATAGCAAGTGCCCCCCAAAAGGTGATCCGCAGTATGATCTTCTTTATAAAATCCGCCCTTTAATTGCCCACTTTAACAGTAAATTTGCCACTATATATACCCCCAATAAAAACATTTCCATTGACGAGTCCCTCATTAAGTTCAAGGGAAGACTGGGATTTAGACAATATATCCCATCCAAAAGGTCCCGATATGGGATCAAATTTTATAAACTGTGTATACGAAGGAAGGGATAGCCACCTTGATCCCCCAGGTTGCCCAGATATAGTAGGGACAAGTGGGAAAATTGTCTGGGACTTAATAATGCCACTACTTAATAAATGTTATCATTTATACATTGATAACTTTTATAATAGCATCCCATTGTTAAAAATGTTATACTGCTTCGAGACCGTGGCCACTATTCGAAAGACTCGCACAGATTTCCCAAAGGCTCTAGCAAACAAAAAAATGAAAAGGGGGGAAACAGCAGCTCTCTGCCAGAATGAACTGCTGGCACTCAAATACAGGGATAAAAAGGATGTTTTCATCTTAACCACCATTCATGGTGAAAACAATCGGAGGGTCACAGTTCGTGGCAGAGAGGAATGCAAACGAGTGCCAGTCTGCAAACGGCAATATAATCGGCATATGGGGGGCATTGACCTGTCTGATCAACTGATGCAGCCGTATTTGATCATGTGTAAGACCAGGGCATGGTATAAAAAAGTGGGCATATATCTGATGCAGATGGCAATACACAATGCATTTGTCATTTTCGCAAAGGCAAATGCTGGGCTGAATATCACTTTTCTTTCGTTCCAATTTAACCTCATTTCTGGGCTACTTGAGTGGCACACAAGGAGACCATCAGTGGAGCCTAGCAGAAGAATGGAGGCAGGTCACTTCTGCTTTAAGATTCCACCAACCCCTAAAAAACAAAACCCCCAGAAAAGGTGCAGGGTGTTTTACAAGAGGGGCGTAAGAGCTGAGACCAGCTATTACCTCCCTGATTGCCCCTCTCAGCCCGGCCTATGAATTGACCACTGTTTTAAATTTTTTCACACCCAGGCCGAATAAGTAGACCAGTTTTGGGTTGTGATTTTTTTTAGTCATCTGTCTGATTGGTTACCGAATCTTGGCTTTGTCTCCCGCTTATCCTGTCTTCTATGATCCTTGACCTCGGCTTGTCCTATTGTTGTTCCGTTTCTCTTTACTCATTTGACCTCGGCTTGTACCTTGACAATTCTCTGCTTGTATAGCCCGGCCATTCTAAGGACCGGTATTACAAGTTTCTCTCTGTGTTCTCTCTCTTTGTGGTCTGTCTGTGTTTTGGTTTCGGAATCCATGACAGCTTTGCCCGGGATGCAGATGACTGGGTACTACCCCGGATATGTTTACCCCAACTATTCCCCCTTTTCACAGCAAATAGTATGCACTTGTTCATAATTTGAATTGATGAGCTTCTTATACTTAAAAATATATGTGGCTTTGAGAGGCAATTTGCAGTCCTGAGCTGCTACAATGAGAGTTGGCCCCAGCATCCACTTTTGAAAAATATGGAAGTGGTGTGTCTCCAATGTGCCCCTTCAACATCCACATAACCCTGAGAAAGGTACACATGGGGTTATCATTGCACTAACATGACATAGCTGAGCAACATATTAGGTGTTATACTGCCTTAGCACACATAAGGATAGCAAAATATACAGTAGCATCTCAAAGTGTGTGTCAAAAAGGCAGAAAAAATGCTAATTGCAACTAGACTTGGTACAAACTAACAAAAAAAATATCCTACACTAAGGTTTAGAATATACCTTTTGAAATACCCTGGGGTATCTACTTTAAGAAATGGTAGGGCTTTGTGGGGTAGTTTGAAATTGCACATTGACCCAGCGTCCAAATTCAAAGTTGGGTAAAAACTGATATGACTTAGTCTCCAATGTGCCCCTTCAACATCCACATAACTCTGAAAAAGGTACACATGGGGTTATTGTATCACTAAGATGACATAGGTGTTATACTGCGGTATCTACTTTAAGAAATGGTAGGCCTTTGTGGGGTAGTTTGAATTTAAAACCTGCTAAGATGCTTGGAAATTGCACATAGGCCCAGCGTCAAAATTCAAAGTTCGGTTAAAAACCGAAATGGCTTGGTCTCCTATATGGCACTTTAGCTTCACAAAATAGGGCCAAAGACATACAATGGGGGTGTCCTTTTACTCAGAAGACTTAGCTGAACATAATTTGGGGGGTTTGAACTTAGTGGCACATGTGAAATATACAAAATGCCCAGCAAAAATGCAATCCATATGTAAAAAACACACAAAATTATTTTTTACCACATACTTTGGCATTTATTGGTGAAAAAATGGGGGCATGTTAAGGCACAATATGCACCTTATGAAATACCCTGGAGTGTCTACTTTTACAAATGGTAGGCCTTTGTGGGTTTTTTTGAACAGTCAAACTGTTATAAAACCCCAAACGGAAGCATAGGCTCATTAAATCGGTCTCTCAAAATTCTACTGTAAGTACTGAAAAGGACAGGTCTCCTATATGGCACTGTAGCTTCCCGAAATAGTGCCAAAGACATACAATGGGGGTGTCTTTTTACTCAGAAGACTTAGCTGAACATAATTTGGGGGGTTTGAACTTAGTGGCACATGTGAAAAATACAAAATGTCCAGCAAAAATGCAATCCATATGTAAAAAACGCACAAAATTATTTTTTAACACATACTTTGGCATTTATTGGTGAAAAAATGGGAGCATGTTAAGGCACAATATGCACCTTATGAGATACCCTGGAGTGTCTACTTTTACAAATGGTAGGCCCTTGTGGGTTTTTTTTTGAACAGTCAAACTGTTATAATACCCCAAACGGAAGCATAGGCTCATTAAATCCGTCTCTCGAAATTCTACTGTGAGTACTGAAAAGGACAGGTCTCCTATATGGCACTGTAGCTTCACGAAATAGTGCCAAAGACATACAATGGGGGTGTCATTTTACTCAGCAGATGTAACTGAACACAAAATAAAACTTTGTACAGGAATAGCACACACAAACTTTACAAAATACACACAAGAAGTTCTTTGTTATAAGTTTGTGTGCCAAAAACTAAATAAAACACAATTTTACTCCAATATTTAGCAGAGGTTTGCGGTGAAATGGCTACGTAGAAAGTGTCAAAACAACCCTAGGTAAATAGCCTGTGATGTCTACTTTCTATAAATATATACTTTTGTGTGACAATTTTGTTTTCTTTTATGGCTATTAAACTTACAAGACAAACATACCAAATTCTAAAATCGCTCCACATTAAAAGTTTATTTTACTCCTTGTGCTTTGTGACCTGTAACTACCAAAAAAAACTTTAAATCCCAGACACATTATATATTCTGTAAATCAGGCAACTAAATTAATTTATTTTTA